TCTCACTGTGTTCTCGGTGCCTCCTGCACCTTGTCTTGCTCAGTGATGCCACTAGATGGCGTCTCACTCACATACTGTGGCCTGATTTTGAGCGTGGCACTGATCTTCATGTGGCTGACTGTGGCTGTGGAAAAAAGGCTGGTTTAGTCACCCATCTTCTTGGAACAGGTGTTGGCTTCTTTAAGAATTCCCCTGTAGTGCACTGCTACTTCACATTCTTAATGAATCAGGGAACGAGTTCAACTTTCTCCCAGCAGCTCACTTTGAAAACATTTGGCTGTCATGTTGTTGGTGGCTCACTGCTTTTCTCAGAAACGAGTTTACAGCGTAGCTCCTCCCAGATGCCCGCTTCCTCCCTTTGTGTGATAAAGGCCTGCATTATTCAATATTTGCAAGGAAATCCTTGAATCTTTCCATTAAATCAAAAGTTATAACCTATGTTTACTGATATTTGGCAGGTGCTTTGCATTTTCACGGGAAGCGAAGCCTGCAGTATTTCTGATCAGCTGCGCTAATTACCGACTGAACTCTTTAATCTGGCAGTTTAGTCCACTCAGGGTTCAGGGACTTTTCTGTTCACTGCACCAGTTTACTTTGAAGCATGCTCCTGTCAGCTTTTCACGTTTTGGGCTCACACATCTCACCGTCTGCTTGATACAGAATAGAAAACTCAAGAGTGAAAACTGGTTTGGCCAGCTCGGGCACAAACGGCAAATCAGATTATAAAGAATCGCATTAAAGACACAATGGTGCTTAAAAGAAGTATAGATATATATTTGAATTAAAAAAAGATATAGCAGCTTAAAAAACTTACTGTCATGTTACACAGAGCACTAATGCCCCAACACTGCTCAACAACAAGGTGCTGGAAATGAGGTCATTAACAGAAAACTATGAACTGATCTCAGAGGATTTTGTTATCCCAAGAAAAACAGCCTAAAGTGTGCCGGTGAAACACAGCATTTCTGCTTCTGAGACTTTTCCCATCCAAACAAACACTTTTACTTGTTAGAGGAAACAATCACAGCCTGCTGGAATTCGATAACAATCAAAATAAGTGCTGCTTTCTTTGTTTGGGAAGTAATTCCAGGGAATGTGGCTGTGTGATAAAATTGAGCTTTTTTCCCTCAGTGACAGTGAATTTTTATTTGCCTTTTATGTAAGCTCGACCTTTTGTAAAGGTTACTGTTTATCACTGTTCAAGTTGAAAAGCTCGTCTGTAAGAGTGAGAAAAGACCATGTTTAGATTTCATTCTAGAAGCTTAAGTTTGCCCGCTTTATCCAAAAACTGGTGTTATGACCCAAGATCACGTAGGCCATGTGTGTGACTCCTCCCACCAGAGGATGGCTGTGGGCTTTTTCTCTCCTCTCTCAGGTGTGGACACCTGGATGTGTCTTACTGGAGTCCAGTGCCGGCTGAGTGGAATTATTCCTGCTCTGCGATTGGATAATTGGCTGATCACGCAGTATTTAACCGCCAGATGACAGCCATGCTCTGAGCCTTCATCCAATAAACCACTTGTGCGGCTGATTGTTGTTACGTAGACGGTCTTTGCCTAAAGCCTTTTATCAAATTGGTGTGTGTGTGTGTGTGTGTGTGTGTGTGTGTGTGTGTGTGTGTGTGTGTGTGTGTGTGTGTGAGACATTGCTGTTGTAAATAGATTTGTAAAGTAGCGTTTGTGTACCTCTGTCACTGTGTCTATATTGCAGCAGCCTGGTACACAGCAAAATCTCCAGTGTTAAATTAACAGTGTCTATATGGGTCCACACCTCTGAGTGTTAAATACAACACTGTTGAGTGTTAAATTAACACTTTTGACAGTGTTATATGTTTAAAAGTAACCTAGTCAGTTTTGAAGATTAACACTGAGCAGTGCTGATTTTCTAACTCTGGAATATTGTGTCTATATTGCAGCAGCCTGGTACGGGTCAGTTTTCTCCTGTTTGGGTAAAGTTGTCTTTTGGTTGTTGTTTTCACAGGGAAGCTTCGGGCCCTTCAGGGATCTTTTGTTTGTTATTCTTTTTGTTTGCTCGCTGCCAAAGTAAATGGCTGCATAGCACTTTGGAAGGTAGTCTGTTTTTGCTCTTGGGTGGTGTGTGTGTGTGTGTGTGAGTAGGAGGTCACTTTTCTTGTTGCGTTCACTCCAAGAACATAACACTAGTTTGGATGTGTGTTTGGGACCATTGTCCTATTGGGACACCCAGTTGTCCCCAAGTTTCTGCCGTCTAGCTGTTGATTAGAGGTGAAGCTGAATTTGGAGTTGGTCCTCCTCCATCATCCACGTTGTGCAACACCAGCGTTACTGGCAGCAAAACAGCCCCAGAGCACGATGCTGCTCTGGGGCTGCACCACAGTTTGTACGGTGTTCTCAGGCTTGAAAGCCTCGCTTTTACTCCTCCAAACATACTTTTTAAGCCTGGAGCCAAATAACTCGGTCTTTGTCTCATCTGAGCATAAAACGTAGCCTCTCACTTATTAGCATCCCCTCATTGTTTCCTGAGGTCAGTTTCTTGATCATTAATAAGCAGTCTGTCATTTCAGTCGTTATGCAAATGCACTGTTTAAAGGGTTGGGAAACCTGCAGTCAGCTGAGACTGAAGAAGTTAGTTTTGAATTAGTTTCTTTGTAGTTTTGATAGTTGTATAGTCCTGCTTTCTGCAACCCTGCACTGTCCTCACAGAGCCTGTTTTGAATCAGCTAAACCAGGCTTGTTAACCAGTCGGATGCAGGAGTCAATTTAAAAAAAAAAAAAAAAAAAAAATACAATTCTCCAAATAGTTAGGGCCCCATCTGTGTGGGTGTCGGCAGACATTTACATAACCAACAGAGGCTGAAGGCAGCATGTTAGTCTTGAAAGTCTGTGCTGGTACGAAAGCTGGAAAACTGAGTGGAGTAAAGATGAGCGATTGCAGGGTCCAGATGTCTGAATCCAGCCGCTGGATCTGGTGCGCTGATTGAAACAGATGTTTACTCTATTTTCACAAACACAAAAATAAACGATGATCTGCAACGTTCTGCAGAGAAACATTAGTTACTGACAATCACGTGGAAAAAGGTTATGATACCCAAACAAAGTCACAGACCACTGTTCCCATGGCAACAGCGGAGGACAGTGAGTCACATCCCAGCACAAACTTCTCAGGAAGGGTCCAAACAACATTACAGAAGCCCAAAGCTCTTTGGGATTCAAATGTTCCCCTAATTGCCTGTTTTTAGTGCTGCTTACTTTTCCAGCCTTTGATGCTCCTGTTTGAACTTTTTCAAGACATTTTACACCACCTTAGTTAGAATTGGGCAAATATTTAAACTGTACAAATGATGGAGGAGGATCCAGACAAACCAGAGGATGGGGGCATGGCTCTGACATAGCCAGGATTTCTTTGTGTTCGCTGGATCAATAAAACCTAAATCCCCAAAATTGTTTATCTTGTGACTTTATAAGTTCATAAATCTCTTTTTCTCATTCAGTACACTCTCAGTGCTGGCCTTTAATTTCCAGTGTGACAGATGCATATTAGACCTCTGAAACACAGAAGCTGCTACATTTGAGCATTGAGATCTGGCCACAAACACTTATTTTCAGACTCAGTGAATCTATTCAAAGTCCTGTGACCATGCAGGGATTTCGCATTGATGTCAGGATGTTTTAAACTTTAACCAGCTGGACTCAAAGGGTCTGCTGCCAACTGCACAGGCACCACAGGACACTCCTGAAGGTCTTCTGACAGTGCGACAAACAGTCAGAGCTTTTCTGACAACTAAGCATGGACCTATACGTTTCTTACTTTTAGGGACACTTGTTGCACACACAGCACAACACTGGAACCTGCAACTGTTGCTGAATGGCACATATTTAACTGCAGTTACAAACCATCAGCTTTAGACTGCATTCCTTATTAAACCTTGCTCGTATGGAGTAAGGCTGACAAACACAGTATTATTATAGTGGGAATAACGTGTGCTTAGATGAAAGATGACATATTATTCTTCAGGCTGGCATACGCTTTCAACTTGCTGTGAGAATAGAAGGAAGCCGGCTTCTCATCAGACAGTTTCACTTCAGGCTTCTGAAGTGAAACTGAAGCCAATTCAGATACTTGACGGGTACAAAAAAACAGGTTTCCTGATATTGTCACCAACCATCTGCTCCCTGCAGGCTCATAACACGACCCCCAGTGACCTTTATTTCCTTGTAAATAAACAATGACCTAAGCAGACTTTAAATAAGTTAATTAATAAATAACCCAAGTGCTAAAGGAAGGACAGACGTGATGTAATTAAGGCAAAGTCAGATGAAATCTGGGACTTGAATTGCAGCAAAATGTTTTGATGAAGCCATATTTCAGGAAAGGGCGGAGCCTGAGCCAATCTAGCAGGCGATGTGTTTACAAACACGTATCCTGTGAACCAAATATGCTCGAATAACTTAGTAACTGTCAAAGGAAAAATAAAGAGTTTGTTCACGTAAGCACGAGCCTGCTGCTGTGCATCACAAAGGAAAAGAGTCACAATGAGGATGCTGACAGTCAGCGTTTGCTTCAAAGACCTTCTTTAACGGATGTTTGGGACTCAAGAACAGCGCTGTGCAAAGACCTTGAGACATCCTTCATTCCTGTATATTTGGCTGCCAAAGACGCATTCTTGCAATTTCTTAAAGTGATCTGGAGCAAAGTTTCTCCCGACTTAGCAAACAAGCAATTTTCAATTGTGCCTCTAAGTTAGTATCGTCTCTTTAAAGAAAACAAATCATTTGTCTGTTTTTAGTTAAATCTATAAAAAAAATGTCAAAGGAAACAGTTTGACATCCCCAAAGAGCTTTTAGGGGAACACCGGCCAAAATGTCAGCTTGGTGAGGTGTGCCCTTAAAAAAACAAGTAGAGGACAAATCACAAGTCTCAACACAGATCAGCAGCATCTGAAAGTCCCATCCTTACAAAACATGGAAAAGTCCAGTGATTACAGGCTAGCAGGCTTTCAATGCAAATACATGTTACAAACCCAAAAAGAGAAACAACACTATTGTGACTCTCTGAGCGGCTGCAATGAGAATTAGCCAAAGCTTTTCCTGTCAACATGACTAATCGGCCAATTCATCCGTGACAGCTCAGAAACTGCGTCCAGCAACCTGACCTGCAGACTGTTCGGCTCAGGGCTGATCATACGGCGCTAACTGTGTCTGCGTAGAGTAAACTGGATCAGAGAGTCAGTGCCCTGATGTCCAGAGTAGTGGCACATGCAGGGTACACATTAGGTGATCATCATCACAACAAATTAGGGGATCATGTAGGCTAATATTACATTTCTGCAGATTTGTAGGCTCAAAAGTTAAGACAGACATCAGGAGGTGTCTTCCAAAGACCGTTTTTATTGTTTGTTTGAAAAAGAAACAACTGAACTATTAAAAAGGGACTTTCTGAATTATTTGAAAGAAGATAATAAAGAAATCGTGAACTGATTTCCCATTTGGCTTATTTTGATAGGAGCCTAAGCAAAGAACTGCAAAGGCCACGTGATGTTGAAGCGACTCTTCTTTAGAATAGTCGGTGTGATCCACTCATCACTTAATTAGCCCGATACCACTTCCAGGAAAAAGTTCTTCCCATCAAAGGCTGCGGAAGGAAAAAGGGGGCCTCACCCTTACACTTTAAAAACAGGAGGCAGCAGCGCGCTCGCACAAAGATCTGAGCAACTACGAGGGAGGGACTCCTTTAAATCAGCAACTACTGACTTCAGCGGCTGCTCATCACTGTTCTCCGTCTCACAACAAGTCTCAGGACTTATTAATCTGCTGGATAACATGGCCGCGTCCGGACTGCAGCTCCTCGGCTTTTTTCTCTCTCTGGTCGGAGTCGCTGCCACTGTTGCCGCCACTGTTATGGTGGACTGGAAGAAGCTGGTCCAGGGCAAGCACCGCTCCTATGAGGGCTTATGGATGTCCTGCGCTGGTGTTCAAGACAGAATGACCTGTGAAATTTATCAGTCCATCCTGAAAATGCCGAGTAAGTTTGCATCGCACCTACAATCATCTCAAAGCAAGACGCTGCTTTTTGGGTAAAGTAAATGTAGTTACAGTTACTTCTTTGGATTTTAGCCACCGAGCCATCAGAGAACAAACCAAATCTCTTAATCTCACCGGTGTAATAAAGCTACGATTTCTTACCGATATTTGTGCTTCTGTTCGCCGCAGCTGAGATTCAGGTTACCAGGGCAGTGCTGCCGGTCAGCCTCCTTCTCTCTGCTCTGGCTGTACTCATCTCCACAGTGGGGATGAAGTGCACCCACTTCATGGATGGTGTGCCAAAGAGCAAATCCATGATAGCGATGATCGGAGGAATCACGTTCATTCTTTCAGGTGTGTCCCAAAGCCTGTGCTCAGACTGAAGACAGAAGTCATAATGAAGTTAGCAGCTGAGAGCGGCTGTTATTGTAGTGAACAGGTGGGTCAGGATCCATGAGTGCTTCAATGATCAAAGATGTTTTCTTTCATTAGGCGTGTTGACCATCATCATCACCTCCTGGTTTGTCAACATGGTTCTTTCTTACAGTGGACACAAGCTGTTTAGGTACTGCCATCAAGACACACACACACACACACACATACACACACACACACGTATGCATACACATTGTAAATAAACACGCAGTGTGCTACATTAATGTTGCTCTGCTCTTTTTGGCAGACCTGAGTTTGGTAATGCCGTGTTTGTGAGCTGGGTTGGTGGACTCCTCACTGCGGCCGGTGGTGCTTTCCTGAGCTGTCGGAGATGCTGGAGGACAAACCCTCCAGTGTCCATGAGCTCCAGCCACTTTCTTTCTACCAATCACTCCAAGTCCAACTACGTCTAGTTGAAAAGGCCCTAAGAACCTGAAGAAGGAGCCGGTTTCCCTTTGTGGATTATTTAAAGAATACGTTCATTCACTGAGAGGTCTTTGAGATCGGAGTGAGGATCGCTCAGAAGAAACTCCTTTGAATCTCCTTTGTCCTGGGTTTAAATGCCACCACAGCTCTGGTTTCTCCTGCTGCAAAGATGTCAGGGTTCAAAGTTTAAAGTCTGAAAAAGTCCACAAATCGATAAATATACAAGTGAGCATGTCAGGTGGAGTTTCTTCATAGTAGCACTGAAGACAAACAGTTTTTAATAGTTTGAAGTGTGGCCGCATGTAAAGTGGAGACAGCGTCATTTCCGATACTTTTCCGATATACGGATTTGTTTGTGTGTGTTTTGTGTTTATTTGTATCTGTGATGCTTCCCCTGATCAGATAACATTTTGTATATTTTGAGAAGAAAAATAAAATAATGTTGTTTTTTATAATCTGTGTTTTCCTGTTTTTAATTAGCCGCACAGGCTAAGTTTCTGCAGAGTACCTGACAGGTTACATGAAATCAACAAATCAGAAGCAAGTGAGCAGAACTGAAAGACAGAAACACGTGCAACAAAACATCTACACATATGAAACATTAATGCAGTTAAATCATCTATAGAAACTCACAAAGACAAAAGGACATCATCGATTTGATAGATAATAACCACCAACCAAGATTCTTCTTCTTATTATTATTAACTGATAAGGCTCAGATCATTGAAATACATTTTTAAACATCATCCTAATGTGAAGCTATGTTACTGGGGCGAGGTGATGTGGCTGGAGAAGCGAGCTCAGACCTGACCAGCGGTCCCGTTCCCACAGCACCAAAGGATCGTTCACTGTGGATATCAGCTGCTGTCAGTCAGATGTGACGCCATAATGTCAGCACAAAACTGCATAAACATTCATAAGACTTGTTTACTGTAACCAGGCAGTACTTATCTTAAGCGCCGCCGTGTACGAGTAATGATGTCATACTTTCCTTCCTTTCACAGATACTGTCATTAAGCCCATTACTCCAGACCATTAGGACCATATAAGAGTTGCCAAGGTCGCTCTCAGAGAAACCTACTTGCTGCATTCAGTCAGCATTTAGTGGGTTTAAGATAAGCACTGCCATTGTTTAGGAAGTAAGTGATAACTGATGAGATTTGACTATAAGCTGCATTTTCAGGAGGCAAATACACAAAAACAGAAGCTGTTTGGTTCATGTTCATGTCATGAGACTGGGCTGCGTCCCGAGTGTGAGGAATACGCGAATGCCTCGTTCGATTAAATGATTAGCAAGAGTGAGAAGATTAACACAGGTGAGAGTTCGTTTGCTTCCGAGTTTCTGAGTCACAGTGGGGAGAAATTCGCTCACTCTTCACTCGAAACATAACAAAGAGCGGATGTGGACGTGAGTGGATGCAGGCCGTGTCTGGGAGCGACTGTGTGCCGCTGCGATGCTGACTGTGACAAAGCAAAATGGGATAAAACAAAGCAGTTAATGGATAGTTGATGTTACTGTGCTCGTTTGTTCATGTCTAACTCGACTGCTGAGAACAACAATTTGAATCAGATAAATAGTTTTATTCTATAGAGGATCCAGCACTGGACAGCTTGCTGTTACTTGTCGTTGCTCCAATAAATAAATAAATAAATGTCCTCCACCCAAATTTCTCTACAGGAACACCAATAAGTAATCCTTAACTGCCCCTTGTTCAACACTAGCAGAGCTGACGGATCATATGACTAATTCTGTGGCCACTTTGGAGGTGCCACCTTGTTGGATTTGCATTGTGTAGCATTCCTGTTTCACAACTGCACTGTGGCGAGGTGTGGTTTGTGGCGCAGCTGCAGGGGAGGGGTGGAGCAGCGGGTTTGGGTGTGGCCCCCACAGATGACCCTCCATCATTCCTTTCCTATTTGAGTAGCTGCTGGGGCCCAGAGGAGGGTGGAGAGCAGGGCGGAGCTGTGAGCTGGGCACCGTAAATAAACACTCACGAATCCTGCAGAGCTGCGTGTCCCTGTTTGTGATTAACGAGGCTACCAACCTCTTTCAGTGAGTCATCTGTAGATAATTACATCTGATCTAACTGATGAATCATTACGTGAACGCGTTCTCTGATCCAGGAACACTTTAGTAATTATGTATCGAGATTCTTCATTTGTAGGAACCCAGAGATTCTTAAATAAGGGACATATATGCATGCGTGTGTGTAGGTCAGACATATAAGCAGAAGCTGCAGTGGTGAAGGACCTTCATGTACATCTGCTATATACAGTTTCACTTAGCTTCAGTAGTTTTATTGTAATTATTTGTTTTCAAACAAGTATTTAATAGTGGGTAACGTGGATCTTTAAAAAGTGAATTTTCAGTTTCTTAATGAGTCGTTGAAACCCAGCAAACCCTTTCAGATATTCAGAAACCTCAAGCTGCTCCTACAGGTCACTGCCCAGGTGTGCTGTGTCTGTTTCTGTGCAGAGGGGTCATTAGGGTAGCATGTGGATGCTAATGGTGTGATAAAAGGTTTCAGGGTGTGCTCTGATGAAGATCACTGATGTTTACATGCTCACACCAACATTTGTTTTTCCAGCTGTGTCATGTACATATCACACATATGCACAACCAGTGTATGGCAGCTTATATGACTGGTGCTCCTCAACACTTACTGGCATGTCTACAGCTGGTTATTTAAATTCATTGGACTGAATGTCAGAAAGACAAACATCTGTCTATATGAAGTGAAAACTAAACTGTGGAACTGAGAACATCATCTGATCAGACAGGAGAGATGGAGCTCCTCAATATTTCCTCCTGAGGATCCGGGAACAAAGAATTTAACTTTTGTGTGATTTTCTTCCTGTTTACCACCCAAACACACCAGATGTCAGTGGTAAGCCCAGGATGTCGTCTGCTAAGTGCATCAGGACTTGGATATAGACCAAAAACAAATTTCCATTACAGAGGACAGAAATGTCCTTGTTCTCAGGAAGATATTCTCTTCAGCTGCAGGTGAGTGAGCTCTGTGGTTTTAGCGCCATCTACTGATGCAATCCAAACATAAATTCATCCACACATAAGGACGAACTTTCCTTCCGGCTGCTTAAAGGCAATTGAAACATATTCCAATAAAGTATAAATATCAACCAAACAGACACATAGAAAGTGTCCACACACACACACACACACACACACACACACACACACACA